AAAAAATCGCTTTAAACATTATTCAATTTAAATAATTCTGTAGTTAGCCATATGATCAGCATCATTGATTTAGAAAACATATGATTGATATAATTAACAATTAAGTTTTAACCGGAAATAGACTTTTTATTTGTAATACAAATTAATTTTAACCAAAAAAGAAATAGTTAAAATAAACTTGTTTGTTATTTATAAACTTTTTTTAACCACCTTCCAATTTTTTAATTTTTTTTAATTCTTTCCGAATTATCTTTCCAAACTAATTATTCAAATTATAAACATGGCAAAACGTAGAAAAAGTTCTAGTTCTATTACTTATAAACCCAAAAGTTCCACCAAAGAATATAATTTAGTCTTCCAAAAGTCTATCAATAAACGTAACTACGACTTCAGCTTTGAAAAATCTAACGATAATAGTGATATACAAACAGGAGTGGATGAAAAAATCTTGGCATCAATTTTAGCTCGCGTTACTGCTTTGGAAAATGAAAACAAGGCATTAAAAGCTAAAACAAAAAAGGAAGTATTAGTTTCGAGAAGTGAAATAGAGACTATAAAAATGTTGAAGTCTAATTATAATAAAAGAAAAGGAAAGATACATCAAGACTCTAGCTTAGAACGGTCAAGTTCTGAACAGGAGTCAGATGATGCGAGGGTAAAATATGAATTGTACGGTTGCTTTAAATAAGACATAATATGATTCGACATTGATAATTTTAATTTTTTAAGGATTGTGAGTCTAATACTATTGATAAAGATCATGATAATTCATCTGTTGCTCTGCCGATCCTAAACTGTCTGGAAAATCAAGCAAATTTGTGAATTTGCATCTGAAATTAAATTTGAAGAAGAACGTATATGAAAGTTACAGGGTGAATATTATCGAAGTGTATTATCAAGCTTAACTAACCTTTAATCGAACTTTCCCAATTCAAGCTGCCTTTTACAGACTTATCGAACACTATACTCCTGTTGGAATTCAATATAAAAACCTTGATAAAAATATTAGAGCTGGAATTATCCGCAAGTTCAAGAAAGCTAATCCTCACTTTTCTAATTGTATCAGTGATTAGGCCTTAGTATATCTCATGCGTCACAAAATAAACATTAATCATAAGTATTATACATGATGATGTTAGTCTTTTGGTATATTTTATTTAGTCAACTATATTTTATAGGAGAAAATGCTCGTCGTTGGGATAAGAAAAGTTATATCAAAAATAAAGTCAATTTTTTAAAGTATATAGATGTCTTATATAAACAAATAGAAAATTAATGTGTATCATCATTATACTTTCGTATTATAGGTCCAGTTAATGGTGAGAAGCGCGAAAGGATGAATCAATCAACCGTCAAAGGTGAAAAGTACGGAAGGACAAATCAACTAATTGTCAATGATGAGAAGTGTGGGAGGTCGAATCAACTGATTATCAATGATGAGAAGTGTGGGAGGTCGAATCAACTGATTGTCAATGATGAGAAGCGTGAAAGGAAGTGTGCTCAAAAAAAGATAACTTTTACTAACCATTATTCTGAAAGTTATAAAGATTCTTATGATAATGTTGATGATGAGCTTGATAAAATATCGAAAGATCATACACATTACTCATTATCTAATCCTATACCAATTTATTATCATAACAAACTCAGAAAGTTCTAAGGATAATGTCGAAGAGAATAAAATGACGGATAGTATCTCTTCATAAGGTGTGCTCACTTGTTTCTCAATTGTGTAATGCTAAAGAAAGATATACAAAAGGTGAAAAGCAAATTAATGAGAAACAAAAATTAATTTTTATATATTTCAAAAAAAGGTCAGAGTCTGAAGATCATAATCTATCACTACCTGATTCGGATGACAAAGAATCAAAGCCTCTTAAGAAAATTTGTATTTCTGATTTTGATAAGTTAACATCACAAAGGACAACTGGATCATGCAAAGCCAAATCATCGAAAAGATCATTGAAACAAACTCTTGTGTCAGGTGATTTAACGTATATTTATAAAAATGTAATTATCTATTTTATTCGAAAACAAGCTATACCACTACTCGATTTTTATAATTATAGAGAAAGTGAAATAAAACTGCAATAAACTGTGCCTTGTAGATCTCTTCGAAATAAGTGTTTAATCAATGATATTGACAAAACCGGCAAAAGATAATAGGAAAAAATATGATCGCTTGATTTTAAAGATTCTATATTTGCATATTAGCATTGCTATAATGTTATGTAAAACAAATTCGTAAAATAATTATAATATGTATAACAATTGTATAATAATATACATTCACAAATCAAACAAATATTATCCAAATAGAGATACATTCA